TAATAATACCTATAAGAAAGCGAATAAACTCTTACTTATATATACTATTAGAATAAATCGTATACGTAATAGTTTAGTTACGAAGATAAGCTTTAAAAAGGATACCTAAGTTTTAGTCTGAAATAAATCGCTATAGAAGTATAAAAGTAAATAGTTTAGGCCTTTTAAAGTTATTAAAGCCTACTTACTTAGTACTTATACGCTAGTAGAGCTAAATAGCTACGTCCTCTGCTATTTAATTAATAGATCTTACCTTATCGAAGCTAATATAAAGGACCTAAAAGCGTTATAAATATCTTAAGCTACTTAAAGCGCCCTCTATAAGAAAGGTCTATAGTTAAAAAGGCCTAAAGAGATTCTAAAAGTCCTTACTTAAGATAACTCTCTCCCTACCTATTATAAATTATCTATATTTACTCGCGAAGAATAGGAGGCTTTTCGGGTTAATAGTATATACTAGTAGTAGGTAAGGGAGGGTAATAGTCTTACGAATAAAGTCGATAGTAGTATTATAGAAAATACTCTTAAATATTACTAAAAGTAACTAGTAGTAAAAGGTAAAAGATCGCAAAAGCTAATAAGAGATTAAAAGAAGCTTTAATTACTTACCTCTAAAGGGAATAATAACTAAGAGAGTTTAGAGGAATACCCTCCCTAGTTAGTCTAAAGTAGGCCTTAAGATACTAATACTTACGAAAGGACCCTTTTTAAATAGCCCTATAGCTATTATAATTTAGGCTATAGGCCTATAGAAAGAAAGCGAAAGCTAGAACTTAATAGATAGATTAATAAATATTATAAATAGAAATTTATAGTCTATTAAAGGATACTAGATAAAGTCTAGAAAAGGGTTCTTCTTATCGCTCTTACTATCTTCCTTCTTCTTTATAGGTATATCTTTAGGCTTAAGGACCCCCTTACTTATAAGATATTTACCTAGAATCTGCTAGTTACTTTTTAAGATAAGCTACTATATCTAAGAGGGCGTAGAAGGCTGTAAGAGTTATAAAGTATCAATAGGGTTCCGAATAATAGGGTCACTAAGAGGAGAGGTTAGCTAGGTATTCTTCTAGGGACCGGCTATAGTAGCCTTATTAAAATCTATACCCTTTAATAGGGTAATAGGGGTAACTACTAGCTTTAAGAGAGTAGGAGGAATAATTAGAGTAACTTGAGTAGCTCTAGCTAAGATAGCTATAGTAGTAGGAGGGGTAGGAGTCTTAACCTTCTTAGAAGTACGCCTAATATAACGCTTAACTAAAGTTAGAACCTATTCTTAAACGTTAGCTACTAGAAGGACGCAGAAACAATAATATAAACTTATAGAAAAATCCTTTAATATAGGATAGTTAGGATTTTAAGTAGTTAAAGGCGCCTTAATCTAGTTAAGGAGCGAATCGAAGCGTAAGCTATAGTTTGTGCTACTAGAATTAAACGAATAATTACTATAAGCGCTATAAAAGGCTAAGTCGCTATTAATAATAAGGACGTAATAAGACGTAAAAGGACCCTTCTATAGGCTATACCTAGCGTAGGAGGAACTAGTCAGAGCCTAAAGACTATATGTCGGATTTACGAGGTCACCATAAATCCTTCGGCGTGCACAAGTAAGCGAGTGTGCACGGTTAGTCAAATCAGTATACGATTAGCGAAGAATCGTATAGGTTAGGTCAGGTCGTTGTACGATTCGGCTTAGAATCGGAAGTTAACTTATAATAGAAGAATACTCCAACTTCATCACAATCATTAAACTTGATTCAACTAGCTATAGAAAACAGGCAATATTTATAACTTCATGAAATCGAGGCAATACGTCAGACTAGAATCTCATAGAAATCAAGAGAAATATAGAGTGTTGAAGCTCTTTCGTTATGTGTGCAATTGTTGATGTCAATCGTTGAAGATCGTCGTCACGTGGACGTTCCGTCGCATTCTGTCAACTTCGATAGCTCTTATAGGCTTATGCACCCACTCTCTTGGGGGCTTATGCACCCACTTATGTCGACACTATACTATTAGATATAAGCTACCCGGCGTTAGCTAGAAGTATTTAAGGGCTAAACCCTATCGCGTTAGTTAATATCCTAAATAGGTATAGCTATTAGTATAGCCTTCTTAACTATAGAAGTAAAAGTCGACTTTAATAGGTTATTACAGGAATCTAGATTAATAAGGACTATAGAGGTTAGTAAGAGTATATAAAAAAGGGAATTCCTCTACTTATAAGGGTTAATATTAGCTACTTAAGTAATAGAAGTATTAAAAGGTGTATTACTAGCTATAGTAATACCTTTAATAGTACCTTTAGTAGCCCTACTACTATCTACTACCTTTAAGGCGTTAATTTAAGTTATAGCTTTAGTTACCTTTATAGTATTACTACTATTATTTCTATCGCTACTAGCTACTTTAGTAGCCTTACGCTTTCGAGTATAAGTAGTAGTAGTACTACTACGCTTTCTAGTAGTAACCTAACGTTCGGAGTTTCTGTTAAGGCTAGGGGCGAAAGGAACTAGATAAGCTATTATAGTGTTAAGGGTTAGGGAGGGATAAGTATAAGGGCTTACTTCGATAGATAGAAAGACGCCTAGGAGTAAGGAATCGGTTTAGGAGGGTCCCTTCTTAGGACTTCTAGTTTAAGAGCGAGTAGTTACTATTATACGTATTAGTTTAGAAGCTGTCGGACTAAAGTAGTGGATCGAAGGACGGAACGGTCACATGGTAATTCTAAGAGGCCAAAAATGCACTATAGGCGGCATCTTCAGCTTTCTTAGAATTATATGTTCGCGTTGTTCAGGGTCCGATGTATTTCTCATTCATATATGCTGACAGAAGCTTTATTAAGATCTTAGAGCTTTCTTACCTATTTTAGGAGTAGAATCTTACAGATATAAGAGAGAGTAAGGAGTTATAGTTTTAAGGGATAGTAAAGTAAGAAGAAATTACTCGAGAGAGAGGAAACATATCTGTTTATATTATATTAATTCCCTTATTAATTCTTTATTTGCTAAATTCGGCTCCTATGTTTGTATATTAGTTACGCCAGCCTAAAGTCGTAGCTATAGCCGACTACGCCCGGCCCCTTCTATATTTAAAAGTCCTTTGATTTCCGCTATTCTTTTATAGAGAGCTATAAGTTTCAGGCTTTGCCTCCTTTTCTTTTATATATCTAGTTACTTTGTTTCTATTCGTGGATAGATACTGCCGGCTGTGCGCTCCTTTATGCGGATGCACGATCTCGGGGCGAAATCGAGTTTAGTGGGGGAGGATAAGATCCCGGGACCCCGGAACCTTTTTCCTAAGGCTTCTACTCAGCCAAGGCCGGACAACAGCAAGCGGCCTCCTCCTTCCTACCACTTCCGCACACGTGATCCTACCCTCGGCAACATACTATATATTTAGTTCTACGTTAGGAGACAATAAAACCTTATGCACCCTTTGCCCTATCATAGATCACAGTTTAATATAATTATAGAAAATCTTAGTAAGTTCTACTATAGTAATTATTGTAGAAACAGTAAGAAATAGTAACTATTTTATAAACCTATTGATAATAACTAGGATTATATTAACTAGCTTCCCTTCGTAGGTTATTAGTAATAAGCCTGTTATAAAGTCTATTAAAATTTCTAAGAAAGGCCTTAAAGGAATTAGGAGCAGCTATAGCTTCCTATATAGCTTATATCTTTTTGCTATAATACCCTAGTAAGTCTAATAAGCCCGGACGTATTTAGTAACGTCTATATAGATATTTAGCTAATAATATTTCCTTTTTATTAGCTAAAGGGTTCTTATATAACTAAAGTAGCTAGTAAGGGGGTTATTATAATATATACTTATTAGTATACTTCTTAAGTTACTCCCTGTAAGGATATAAATACGTTCTTTAAACTATATAAAACTCTTAGATTTAATACTCTAGCCCTTAAACCCTAGAGTTAATAACTATATAGTAGTCTTTTAGCGTTAAGTCTCTAAGTCTTCGCCTTAAAGTTACTTAATAAGCTCCTTAAGGTCTGTACCTACCTTAATAAGGTATACCTGCTTAGAGGTATAAGCAGGCTTTACTTATATATTAGGAAGATAGCGTATACACCTAAGCTCCTCTTAATCAATTATACTAATCGATTTATCCTTATCTTTATTCCCTTCAAAGTATAGGATATTCGAGGTAAGTATACTTATAGTTAGCGACTAGACTATAATAGAATAGTGATTAGTTATCTATAATTCGCTAGCTCTTCGACGGCTTAATAGTAAAATTAGGTTAAGAGTGCTTCCTAGGTTAGTCAGTCTCTGCATAGTCATAGCTCTGACCGACAAGAGCTAGAAAACAGGAATTCCTCCCTAGCAAATCAACGCTGATATCGACGCAGTCAGTTGAAACACCGGCGTAGAATCCATATCTTGTAGATTCACCGCCCGTGCCTGTTCTCAACGCCCTCGTCACTCGTCGCTCCGATCGGAGAGCAATTGAATCTTCTTTCTATTTGCACGCTAATTGAGACGAATCGAGGCTTTTCCTCCTGCGTATACGCTACTTCTTCTTTGCCTATGCGATGGGTATATATCTCTAACCCCGCCTTCGTTCTTCTGGCCGACCCTATTCTCTTATTTGCCCTCGAGTTCACGACAACCCGGTCTCCGTAACAGGTCTGAGTTGCGCCTGGGTTGCATGACTAGCCTTAAGGAGGATCACCCCGAAGCCGATTAAGGATTATGCACTATTTCGTTGTTTGGAACGCTTAGGAAATTACCGACAGGGACTGTTTAGCTATTAGTGACTATTTAGCGTCTACCCTAAGGATCCGAACCTCATAGGGAATTGATACTCTGTAGTCGGCAAGGGTTCTAGGCAAACTTCATAATCGAGACCTCCCAATCCCGACCGGGCAATGATGCATGGGTGGGGTTAGCATAGTATTGGATTAAATAGCCTAGCACTAGGCTCTGTAAAAGTCCGTGTAGGGTCACATCGGCCGTATGGACTGAAAGGGAATTTATGGAGACTCGTATCCGACACCAGACGAATCCGTCGCATCCCGAGCTGTGGCAGTATCGTACGGAATATAGCTCACGAGATGGTGGCCAACGCACTGGTCAACGGCTTTGCGTTTCCGCTCATGATCTAGGCGAAGCTCTTCGCGCAGACGCTCCGCCACGTCTCGCGAGATAGGCCACCGATCTGTTTCCTTCATTACAAGCTGCACTAGTTCCGCGGGCAAGCATTTGTCTAACCCTGCAGCCTGCCCCGCTTCAGCAGCCCACCAGTCGTGTTGTTGCGGTGGCACATTCCGCGTAGAGCAGATCCGATAGTGCGGGTCAACTAAGCGAATTTTAACAATAGTCAAATTTCCAGGCCGGGTGGGATCTGCTAAGCTAAATCGCTCGCGCTTAGTCCTAAATGTAGCCGGCCAGCTTAGGAGACGACCCTCTTGGAGTGAAATAGAACCGAAGGTATGAAGTGCACGGGGGGCTTTCTCTTCGAACGGCTTAAAGTGTTCCACATCTAACACGGTCGCCATTACGTTCGGGATCTTGCACTCAAATTCACTTGCGTGAATTTTATCCTCGTGCTCAAATGCGATGCGTGGAGGAGTGATGTTTTTTGCCTCCACAACAAACAAACTCGTAGCTGTGATGCGGTCGTTACGTAGTCCCTCAGTGCAAAAATGCGTATCACCCGAGTAGGTCGGCTTCTCCGGCGTTAGTTCAATTCGGGAAACTTCAATCACTACCTGGAGACCGTCTTTTTGGAACTGCTCCTGCAGACGAACAGGGACGCGTTCATGATGGAGCGGGTCCGGGAATCTGCCCACTCGCTGCGGTATTATTGCGCGCCCAGTAAACTGACCTTCCTTCCATTGATCATATGAAAAAGAAACGCTAGGTTCGGGATGGTCAAACCAAGATCGTCGAGCACGCTTACACCTTATCAGACGACTCACAAACTTGGGAATTTCCCACTGATCAGGTTTGAGTGTATCTAGTAGGTTAGGCGGAAGGTCTGGCCGTGGTTGCGCCTGGCGCCATTTTGGTGGCTCCGGGGTAGAGATATACTCGCGAGCATCATCACATAACTTTTGCCACTCTTCATGCGTCTTGCAGAGCACATTCCAGTGAAGCATATGATTGATTTTGTGGAAGATTTTGCGGTCTTCCATGTAGTTGTGGATATGACAACCGTATGTCAGTATTCGCGGTGGATGACGGCCACGCTCGTTGCCTCGAAAGAGAATCTCGTTCCACGACGATATCGATGAGGCGATAAGATGTTCAAGGTGGACGTATAAATTTCGGTGACTTTTTGGATTTAAATTGTTCACGTAGGAGGTGATTCGAATGTCTAGAGACTGCTTAGACAAAAATTCTATCTCGCAGGGTAGCCATTGGAAGCGATTTGAGTAGCAGCTCTCGGGACCGCCATATCCAGGGCGGCGCCCAAGACTAGTTGGTATCCGCCGTAGACACCTTAAGTTATCAAAAGGGTGTGCCGGGTGATCTTTGTCAACCTCTCCGGTCGAATTCCATGGATCGTTTATAGTTACCTGCCCTCCTTGAGATAAGACAGGCGACTGAGCATAAACAAGGGGATATAGCGATGGATCCACCAGCGGAGATTGGTGATCCGCTTGGGGCCCTAGTCGATCCACTTGTCTCTGAAAGTCTTCCAAAGACAGTCCGGACACGTCCGTTTGACATATAGCTGAGGAGCTATCGAAAACCAACAGACGGCCTGTGTCCCGCCAAATCTTTGCTTTGTCGCGTAATTCCGAGATACACCAGTCCCACGCAAGATCGCTGATCAGAAAGCCTTCCGGGCCTTCTACTGCCTCTCGGTGCCACTGGGTAAGTTGTTCCTCGTCTGGATCTAGGATTGAGTGATCCCACCCGGGTGTCTCAGTGATATGTTGCATCAGTCGTAGCATAGCTATTTCACGCTTGGTTAAGCGAGGTGAGTGGCGATACTGCACCAGTCCATGGGCGAAACGGCTCTCCGGAGGAAGTTCAATATCCAGAGGGATTCCGCCGAATCCGGGGACTTGGAGGGGGCCATGACCGGCGTTGGTGAGGTTTGTCATTTTGGATGAGGTGGTCTGAACCTTTGCCGCCGAATGAACAAATGGTTCCCCGATGGAGCCTAAATACACGGAACAGGATCCTAGCTTAGGTAGCGGTCGTTAACTTGTCTCACCCGAAACGGTAAAAGTAGGTATCCGTGCCCTCTAGTTTTACCTACGATGCCCCACAACGCTTCCTAGTATAGGGTGCACTACGCCCAAATCGCCATTTTCACCGGTACCCGCCGATCTCCACCAATAACAACAGGATATCCACATTCTCTTGCGCCACTCGCGCCACTCTCCCTACTTCCAACGATATCCGTGCCCTTCGCTACGCTGCGACCCACCCATTCGCTCCCGCTCATGGGTGCGCCCCGTATTCTTTAGAACCCCCTATTCATTAGAGATTTTCGAATGCACTATGCGATTAATCAACCAAAACTAGCTAAAAACACACTATTAACCCATAAAAAAAAGCTCCCCCTTCTCCTTCGCTTCCTTCGCATTAGCTGCAGCTCTTGCAATAGTTTCCTTCGAAAGCTGCGAGGGTTTGAAGCTATAGATCCGTTCCGATTCTTTATCCACCCTCTTCTTTTCTATAGCGATTTCCTTCTCCTTCCGCTCTTTAATTGACCGATTCGCATCACGAGGGCATAGGATACCATCCTGGCTTAGCGGTTTAACCTGCCGCTTAGTGTATACACGACGTTGGGGGGCTTGCGCAGCTCGAATGCGCCGAATCGAGTCCTGCGTCATAGCAAGCTCTTCAAGCTTCTCTCGCTAGTGTTGGAAGATCCTGGTAAGATTTTGCTGAGCTTTCGCTGAATTAGAGGTGATATCTCTTAATATCTTCGCATGATTCCTCTCTAGCGCTTCGATAGTAGTAGGAGGGCTATTTTCCACGCTAGAAGATAGAAATTCTGGAGATAGTGTGCGAATATACGACCGAAGCTCCGGTGTATATAGTTTAGGAGGATCTTGCTGATTCGCTAGATTATCCACAATCTGACTTCCATTGACTGGATAAATGCTACGCTCTTTAAAAGATTCACGAATAATTCGCGGGTTGAAGGCCTTTTCGCGAATTGGCCCGATAATCCGTAGGAAATCTGATTTCCTATACGGTCGGCTACCCCAAAACGATAGCTTATTATTCGCAAGACGAAACTGCTGTTTATAATTCAAAAAGGGCTTCCTATCGAGCGGTTGACAGAGGTGTGTAGAATACGGTAGAAATGCGAATAGTACGATCGAATACTGCTCGTATTTCTCTAGAAATTCGAGGGTAAGATACGCGCTGTGCCTGTCGAAGATAAGATATCGCTTTTCACCCCTTTTCACCCGGTCGGTAGTAGCAGTAATAAAATAGCCTAGCTAAGCTAGTGCTAATTTATCAGAAATCCAGCCGTTTAGTGACATTGCAGTGCCTGTGTTAGGCGGTAGAGCTTCGCTACCGTTATACCAGGCTTCTATAAAGTTAGATCCGTTACTTTTAAAGATAAAGAGCGGATCTATTAGCCAGCCGTTAGCAGCGATGCACTTAACCGCAGTGATAGTCTCGCCTCGCTCAGATTCAGTAAGATCAGGGCAAGATAAGTGAGAGCCGATCACGTTCCTCGCTCGCCCTTGACCAGGTTGAAAACCGCATTCATCGAAGTTATATACTAAACGCGAGGGTACGCTATAGAGTAGCTGACTAAGCTAGTCGTACCAACACTGAAGCAAGCCTGTATCTTCGGCTTGGATTCGCTTTAGTTCCTTAGTCTTCTGCTTCACAGGAGCAAGATTTAGATGATCTGGAAGACGCTTAATAAAGCGATATGCCCACATCTTACTAACCTGCTTATCAGGCTGGCCTGATCGAGCGAGTGCGCGATTCGCCTACGCCTGGATAACCCCTGCGGTCGGAGGAAGGTTCCAACTTTGCATTTTAGCTATCTAATTGATCAAAGCTTTCTCCTGGTATAGGCGAAGCGTAGATCTATTCGATTCTTTCGGGATAATAGGCGATTTGGCCTTTTTGACGCGTGCTGCAAGGGTAGAATAAGTCACACCAAATTCACGCGCAGTCTTCGCGATATTCGGTTTTTTTTGACTCATAACCGCTGCAAAGGCCTTAGCCATGCGAATCTCATCAAAATCGGCAGATTTAGGCATCTTGTGGTGGTTGAAATAGCTGGTTGAGTAGAGAATGTGAAAATCTCTAATGAATAGGGGGGGCGCACCCATGAGCGGGAGCGAATGGGTGGGTCGCAGCGTAGCGAAGGGCACGGATATGGCGGCACTCTATACGTTTTTCCCCTAGTCCTAACCAACCATCACACCGCCTAATCCGGAGCCTTACCGCCTACCGTAATTGAGACAAGACATTACCATAAGCGCCTGCCCGAAACCATATATCAGCACAAGCTAAAAGTGTATGGAGGAGTATGCATATTTGACGAAAGAGATCAAGCGGAACCAATTCAAGACTGAAAGATTAATTGATTGATAAAATGAGTGGCACGCAGATATTGTTCAATACGCATTTGCAGATTTGGTCCATAGTTGATATGTGGATGGGGTCCATGGGACACTCAGAAAGGCGAGGTACGAACCAATAGGAGGCAGCTATAAGTACTGCTCCACTTTCCTCGACGTCAGTTGCTTGTGGTAAGTTACCGCTCCATGTTCCAACACCATAACTATTGATCTTGTGGGGAAAATCGAGTATTAAAAGCTAATAAGAGCTGTATACACGCGCTCATAGCTGGCGATATAATAGAAATGTCAGTTAGTTGTATCCAAGATTGTGTACGTGGCAGAATGGTATGTGCTTATGAATATGGATGGGGCTTTATAGGTACAAATTTATGGAACGTCATTCTAGGCTTAAGACACTGGGCGCGGACATCCTGCGTACTTAGCGTAATTGCTAGGACAATGGGCGACTGTAATAACCACCCAAATTATGTTTCAAATAGCACTATGTAGATTATAGTATCACTCTGGCAATTCCCTCCCCACTGCATGGGTAATCGACATACGAACTATTTTGTTTTTGAAAAGCCCCCAACCCGTTGGCAGTCAAGGTAATGTCCAAACTCAATCAAGCGGGGGGCCTGCACTGGGCCAGAGTGCCCAGCTGGTCAGATTGCATGCGAATACTTTGCAAGATCCGAAGATGTTGCTGGATCCCGGCTCATCTTGGTAGCGAAGTCTTTGTAACCTTCGTAAATCGACGCCCACGTTTGATCGCCTTCTAATTTGACTGCTTTTGCAGTTTCCATCCAGTCGATGTCTTGATATGTCACCAGCTCTTCATCCAAATACACGGTTTTCTCCACGATTGGCTGGTTACCATCTGAGAATTCCCCCGGAATGCAGCTTTCTTATCCTCGAGAGTGTCCTGCGCACGTTCAGCTTCAACATACAGCAAAGCCTTTTTTGCTTGGACTAGAAGATCCCCATCTAATGCAGACGGGTGCTCGTCGCGTGCGTTTATGAGTATGTTGGTGGCGGTCCCTATGACTTTGGAATGGGGGATCATGTCGCCGAACATACGCCGACAGTCGTAATCATCGTAACCCGCGTTAGCCATTGCATTAGCAAGATCTAACAAATCCCCGGGGCGAGTTGTATGGCCTAGTTCACCGAGGTCTTCAAGCATTTGGGCGGAATAAGGATCCATTATGCTCTTGAGAAAGTCTTGGACGGTGCAAGCACCACCAGTCTTTGTAACACATGTTTGACCGAGAGTTACAGTTGCGCCATTGACAGCCATATCAGCTACGTAGCCATGGTATAGATCTATAGCTTCATAGCAGTGTGCGAGCAGGGAACCGCCTACGGCAGCAACGACATTGTGGGCAACGGCAAGGAGAACGTAAAGTGGGACCACTTTCGTTTCCACAGATTTTTCGTGATGTTCAATCCCCGAACATGCGCCAATTAGTATCCTTCCCATTGAGAGCACCAACTTCCCAACTTACTTCTACGAGGCCAATTCTCGGACATGGAGATTCTTTGCCAAGGGATTACTTTCAAGGACCACCAAGCTATTGTGTGCACTCAGTCAAGCTATTTCTATAGCGCAATGTGCGATGGCTTCAAGGTAAAATTTAGTAGGGAATGGCTGATATTTTCGGTCGCTGACATTTTTATGAATCTACCGAGAAAGCTATCAATATCAAGGATGACACCCCAGAGACCATGGAGCGTGTTCTATCCTTCCTCTATCTCAGGGAGCATAGTGAGGATGGGCACATAATTCAATATCAACCCATATCGGCGTTTGCCATCTGTGACCATGAGTCTGATTCATCCGTTTCAGATACAACCCCGGTGCCTAGTTCCCAGCACGCAAGTGTAGATGCCAAATCGGTCAATATGGGACGTGCACCTTGCTCGAGAAAAGGGTTATCATGGTCCGACGAAGAGATTGATCTGCTGGTGAAGCTCAGAGAGGAAGAAAACATTCCTTGGTCGGAATTGACCGAGCAATTCGGTCAGAAATTCCCTGGAAGGAGTCAAGGCTCTCTACAAGTGTACTGGAGCACAAAGCTTGGGAAACGGCCGTCCTCCCCGGTTAGAAACATATAGAGGCAATGACATGGATTATTTGATGGTCTATTCCTAAGTATGACAAAGGCTTTAGTAGGCGATGGCTCAAGATTCTCCATCTCATTCATCTTCCTGATCTTTACCAAAAACGTTGGAAAAGGTAGCTGGGTCCATATACCCTACAAAAATGGCGTGAAAGCCACAAAAACGGGCTGGGACGACATTGGAAGGCCATTCATCATGCATCAAATATAAAAGTTCTTATCGGACTTCAATTTTGGATCTAGTCAAATCACAGGCCTAAAACCAGAATTTGGACGTGACTCTCAATATATTGGCCATTAATTTTAATTCATTTGTACAACCGGGTTGTCTTCAATTGGGAAAGTAAAACAAATTTCGACCAGGACAACTCTCCTGTTATCGTCCAACGCCTCCCAGTGAGCAGGAAAGGGGACACTGTTTTTTTTACCACAAACTATCAAGCGCTTTTTAATCCATCCTATGAAGTTGTAAGTCTCCAGCATTACAATTACACGTTAGTCCTCTGTGGTGTCCGTATAGAAGGTGCAATGGCATGTTGTAGGGAAAGTGTCAGTGTTTCATACGTCAACTTGGGTCTCATCCTCAATTTGTCCCGACTCCCAATGTACCCGATGCCATAGCCAACGTTGTTAATGAGGACTTGGCTGTCATCGCCAAGGAAGTGGTACGCGATGAGGTCTAACCATACAGGCCCTAAGAACAACGATAATTAGCGGAGTTGGACATCTACTCCCCAGCCGAAGGCCTTCGCATTATTGAAAACTATTAAAGGTAATCCGAGAGATCGGTCTGAAAGAAGGTTAAATTGCTTTGTAGATGCAAGGGAGACGGAGACAAAGACTGAAACATTACTCGGGAATAACACTTTGAGAACGAGCGAGCCCACTCTAAGATCTCTTTTGAAGCTTGCGCAATATCATCTGTCGAGTGGCTTTTATCAGCAAGTAGACATCGGGAACTCGAACAAGATCACCGCTAAGCATCTTTGCTTCCCAAGCCTCCACCCGTTCCGAGGCTTTAGTGCTCTGCCGATACTTTTCAGCCCTCAAATCCTCCTTGCCTTCACCAGCATATTTAAATGAAAGTGTCATAGCAGTAGCAGCAAGACACAGCGTGTTTTTGATGACATGGATAGTGTCTTCTCCAAAGGTTTTTGATTGGCCCTCTTGAGCACGTTCGAAAAGCAATACAGCATCTTCCAGGCTGCCCCAATCCCAGTATCGAAGAGCATCTCTCTGGACAATGAAAAGAGTCTCCGGGTCATTTGGTCCTCGTCTTGCTTCCATATTGACCAAAAGATTCTTAGACATCTCCTTTTCTTGTTGCGTCATTCCAAGAATACCATAGACGGCAGCGATCTCACTGTACGCTTTAAGAGTCCAAGTGTCGTCGCCTTCCTCTGGTTCACCTTCCTCGTCTTTCAGTTTCTCTATGTTCCCTATGATACTCTGGAGGAGACATTCCGCATCCCGAATTTTAGGTTCCGACGAGACCGTGACCCCTTCTGAAGCAAGCATCATGGCACGAAGAATATCATCATTGATCGCGTCAGGAACTTTCAACTCTGGTAAATCATGTAGTCCTGCCGCGAAGTTGCTATGTTCCTGAGGCAGTTTAGCTCTGCCTCGAGATGTCTCGGGAGGAGACATGTCGCAAAAGTTTGAAGAGCTGGTGTAAAATAAACGGAATAAAGATGAAGAGACGTCGGGAGCAGATGTGGAAAGAAGAGAAGGTGTTGAGGAGAAGTTGTCTGGATGCGAAGGGAGTGAAGATCTATACCGACTAGGTGGTAAAAAGAATTATTGGAGACTCGAGATTTAGGTGGGAGGGTTATTTATATCCTCACTTTAATACAGACCGTCCGCCATAGAAAAAGCTGTATCAGACCATACAGTATATCAGCGGTGAGCAAAGCTGATTCCTCAACAGAACGAAGGATTCAATGTGTCATTTAACGGCGGAGATCACAGACAAAAGATTACAGTGATTCAGTATAACTGGGCCCTCATCAACCAGGTTTCTGTTCAAATGGAATAAGATGTCTTTTATCTCCTCCTACCCTTCCGGTAGATAACATCTTTCGTGGGAGATCGTGGTGATTCCATTTGCCCGATGTAGCTCCCTTATGCCGCTAAATGTATCCGACTTTGTATTCTATCGTGGTATCGTTCTCCAAGAACCCGATCGCATGTACATATTCAGTTATGTCAATGCAAGGCTCAATACAAAACCCACCCTATGCCTATGGGAACAGGCATTTTCACCTCATATATGTCTGCAGGTCCGAGACTCTTGAAAAGAAAGATACACTCAGTAGAAACAGAACGAAAACCAGATGTAACTTGAATCACGATAAAAAATAATATACTCTCCAAAGGCTGACGATCCCAATTATGCCATTAAAAGTCATCTCAGCGATCTTTACAAAAGACATCGATAAAGGTGTTCGGGTCCAAATCCCCATTCCAAACGATACTATTACTCCTCACAGAACCGCCCCTGGTCATATGGATTCGACTCCCATGCTGATTTTCGCGTTGGGTACTGGTCACTCGTGCAATCCGAGTGGATGATGCCCCCGGAGAACATGGTCCAAACAAAAGATAGTAATCGACTGAACAGAATCAGAAGAATTTTAAAGAGCAAATAATTCGAGATTAAAAGAAAAAAGGATCGGCACTCACATCGCATCAAAAGTGTCGCGTGCAGAACCTGCGGCCCGTCAGTTCAAAATTTCGGGTGGAACCGAGACCGTGGTGTCTAGAGATCATGTCAAGATCTTGGTCGTTCTCATGGACACGAGACTCAAGTACAAGGAACATATCGCGAGGGCAGTGTCGAAAGGCTTGGAGGCAGCGATGGAGCTTCGGCGACTTCGCGGTCTAACCCCAGCAACTGCACGCCAGCTATTCACATCGACGGTGGCCCCGGTGGTAGACTACGCTTCCACCGTCTGGATGCACGCTTGCAAGGATAAGGCTAGCGGACCGATCAACCGAGTTTAAAGGGTAGGAGCGCAAGCAATTGTAGGGACGTTTCTCACAGTTGCGACTAGCGTTGCGGAGGCAGAGGCTTATATTGCCGCTGTATAGCACTGTTTCTGGAGACGGGCCGTGAAAATGTGGACGGACATTCACACCCTTCTAGAAACCTATCCGCTCCGCAGGAGTATAGCCTGCATAAAGAAATTCAGGAGATACCACCGTTCGCCGCTATACTAGGTAACGAACGCACTAAAAAAACATTAAGATAGAGACACTGGAAACTATTAATCCGTTCACATTAGCACTATAGGAGACTCGCGTGCAGACTAATAGTGAAGCAATGCCGGACTTACACACTGCACCTAGCGGGTTAATACAGGCTATAGTTAGTAGCTCAGCACGGAACGGCCTCGTAGGATTTAGGGTAGCGATCGAGAAGCAGCTACCTCGGTATCGAAAGTTGAAACTAAAGACCTTTTCCGTGATACTAGGGGCAAGATCAGAGCAAAATCTATTTTCCGCAGAGCTAGCAGTAATAGTATACGTGTTAAATATACTTGTCGGACTAAAAGACTATAGGATTATACTACTCACGAGCAACAAAGCGGCTGCCCTTACGATAGGGAATCCTCGGCAATAGTCGGGCTAGGAGTTTGTCTGCTAAACGTATAAGCTGATCAAAAAACTGCAGAGAAATGGAAACTATATTAACGTCTAGTAGGCCCCTACTATTAAAGATAATAAATTGCTAGAACTAGCTAAGGAGTAGGCTAAGGGTGCGACCCAGAAAGATACTGTCCCGCAAGAATCAGTCCCTAGGATAAAGTCGACAACGCTAAATCTCGCTCGGTCCTAAGCAGCGGCTAGCAAGAGGTTGCTAGAGAACGTAGGGAGACACGTAAAACGAGTAGATACATCACTACCAGGAAATCACACTCGATAGCTATATAATCGATTGTCGTGGAAGGAAGCGATCGTACTGGCCCAGCTCCGGACTGGTATAGCCAGACTCAATATCTATCTCTACCGCATCAACGTTACAGACACGGACTAGTATACATATAGACAAGCAAGAGAGACCGTGGAACACTTCCTCTTTCGATATCGGAAGTGGACCACACAACGAACAGCACTACTGCAATATAGCCAATCCCACCGGGGCAATCTCTCCTTCTTTCTAGGAGGGAAATCGCCTTCTGATAATTAGCAATGGACGCCAAACCTAGAAGCCGTGCGAGCCTCAATACGATTCGCAATCGCCACGGGCCGACTTGACGCTACCTAACCACGTTGACCAACACGATGACACCCTCCGCCTCACCAACCTACACCTACTACCTTGTGCCAAAGATAGTGGACGCGCTTCAACTGCCGAAGATAGGATGCTGAACACTTAAAGAAGCGCCTTCAAGCCAGTCTACTAACCAAACTACTAACACATAAGGATCCTTATGATATTGATAGCTGAGAGGACATGTACGGCAAAGATCCATGTATGGGCTTGAAGGAGATACGGCATATATATATTGAGATGTGTATTCGTAGAATCAGTTTTAGTTGCCCTTTCGGCTTAGCCGCCGGGCGTTAATGAATTGTGTGTGTGTGTGTGTGTGTGTGTGTGTGTGTGTGTGTGTGTGTGTGTGTGTGTGTGTGTGTGTGTGTGTGTGTGTGTGTGTATGTAAATCATGCCGCAAATGCATAGGAAGCTCCTCATTACATTTAAAAAGCAATATCCAATATCCCCGGCTGCGAGCACAATACTACTCGATGTCAAGGTAGTGGACAGGGGCTGGGTAGATTGCAAGAAGTCTTACCCAAATCCTGAACCTTTCGAGGGCCACCAGGCTGTATCTCTATATAGTTCACAGCGTCGAGTCATGAAATAATATATTCTATTTAGTCGTGTAGAGGGAAGCTCAAGAATATCGCCTTTGATAATCTGTAAAAATTCTCTCCGAGATCTGACTAGTGAGAGACAAGACGAAAATTTTAGATGCGCGCCAAGCCAAGCCATTTCGGCCCGAAGCAAAGCGAATAGTTCTTGCGCGCCATCGGTAAAGGCGTTGTGATCAACCCGAGATCCTCCTGATATCATCGTGAATAGCGCTCCAGTCTCCAATATCTTCAATTAAGGATAAGTTATGTTTGATATAAGCACGTTTTATCGAGAAACCCCTTTGGTAATGTTAGCTTCCTATCATAAGACAGCGACCTTTTTGAAAACTGACATATAACCTGATAGTCTCGCTACCGTCGAAGTGTGACTATATATAGTTCCGAGTTAGCTCTAAACATAGATATAGATAGTTTTATGCGCACCTTATTCGTCCCACAAGATATACACAACCAGCAATTGCAGAAGCTTGAATCTTTTTGACAACTATTCGATCCTGTAATAGTTAAAGACTGTTTCCACTTTTCTAGTAAATAACGTCGCTGTACAACGCAACCTATACTTCACGGCGTTTATGACTAGATGTCAACATGAGTGGGTGCATAAGCCCCCAAGAGAGCGGGTGCATAAGCCCATGCTATCGAATTTAACAGAATGCAACGGAACGTACACGTGACAACGATCCTCAACGATTGACATCAACAATTGCACACATGACGAAAGAGCTTCAACACTCTATTCTCTTGATTTCTATGAGATTCTATTCTGACGTATTGCCTCGATTTCATGAAGATTATAAATATTGCCTGTTTTCCATAGCTAGTTGAATCAAGTTTAATGATTGTGATAAAGTTGGAGCATTCTTCTATCATAAGTTAACTTCCGATTCTGAGCCGAATCGTACGACCCTTTTGACCTAACCTATACAATTCTTCGCCAATCGTATACTGATTTGACTAACCGTGCACACTCGCTTGCTTGTGCACGACGGAAGGATTTATGCTGACCCCGTAAATCCGATAGTTATGAGCCCGATCGCTGCAGCCTGTTGCTAAAGCTTTCGGATTCACTCCTCTCTAATCTTTCGACTACTTTCGCCTCACCTCTCTATCACTTTCGCTTTATAAGTGATGGATTCGACTGATATTCGAGCCACCTAGCTTAGCTACCCTTTGAAGTGCTACGCGCACTAGATTCCTTGGTACACTGCTATACAAGACTATAGACTATTAAATAGTGTGTAGAAATACACTAATCCTGATAAACAGCCTGCTACGCCTCCGCAGGAGCCGATAAAGCCACAAATATCTAACGTATTTAAACAACTACCGAATACGTTTATATCTGATAAACCCTTACCTATACGCCTAATTAATCTTATATCTAACTAGCTATTAATCTATAAGATTCTGCTTAGCGAGTATAAATCGTTAAAATCAGACTACCTTCGCTATATACGCGCGATTGAATCGCTAAAGCAAGGTATTCGCTTATCACTTAAGGGAAGGTAAATCGTTAACAGCCTATCCCTACAAGAAGCTAATATAAAGCTACGTACTATATTCGCTCTATCTAGCTAATCGAAGAACCGCTAAATCCTACGTAACTAGGATATATTAAAGCGCTAAACGCCGCCTACTAAGCCTTCTAATCTAGCTATATAATACTAGAAATAGGTAATTTGCTAATCCGATAGCGAACAGGCTAATATTGCCTAGTTCTAAGATCCCTTATCACTAATTTATAACTTCCTAGAGGCTATTCAACTATA